CCCCCCTAAACTCTAGATTTCCTTTAAGTTCTTGCAAACAAAATTTGTATCTGACAAAGAAGATGAACTCAAAAGTATCAAAGTGCTTGATCCTATTGCATGATACCCTAATGAAAAGCCAGAAGAATTAGTATAAAGGCTGGAATTTGTAAAATATCTTCACGCTCCTTAGGAGGAGAGTCTGGGTATTACGATTATCCCATTTTTCTTGTTAGATAGGCTTAGCCAAGTGAATACAAGAAAGATTTATTACTTTGTAAAACCCTTCACAATACAACAGAAGAAAAAACATTAGTGATGAGACAGTTTTCAACAAACCATAATACTGAGCCTGAAGATTAGGAAAGAGATTCAGGCTGGAGATGCCTTTGTAGCAGAGCAGCACTACAGAGGATAATTGAAGCACTATGTGGAAGAGGGAGGAAGCATGGAGAGAATCCTCCAGGACCAGAGTGTTACTCTGGGGGAGGGTGAATAACTTTGAATCTAACACACTTGGGGCTACTGCTTAGTTGGAAAAAAATAGACCAGGAGAGAGATGGAGCAATAAACCTAAACTTTTATGTACACAGGAAGTCCTTGCAGAGAAAGTCTGAAAGGAATATAAGAGATATCATTAAGCCTTTTTTAAAGTGAGAAGATATTGTTAATGCTGTAAACTGAGCCTGTGCTAAGACTTTATTGATGGATTGAATTTCTTTGCAGAACTTTTTTCCTCTGGGAGAAGAATTTCAGGATTTTATTTATTTATTTATATGTTGATGTCATGAATTGAACCTAAGGCATTCATGCATGTGCTATATCTCCGAGCTACATTTCTGACTCAAGAATTCCAGGATTGTACACAATGTGGTGTACCTGGAAGGGTTGCTGTTTTTTTTTTGTTTGTTTGTTTTGTTTTGTTTTTTGGTTTTTTTTAAGGGTTGCTGTTATGGTTTAGATATTAGGTGTCTCCCACAAGCTCCTGTATGAGACAATGCAAGAAAACTTAGAATTGAAACAATTGGATTATGACAGCCTCAACCTACCGGGTACATTAGTCCACAGGTAAGAATTAACTGGGTGGTTACTGTAGGCAGGTAGGGTGTGGCTGGAGCTGCTGGGTTGCTGGAGGCGTATCTTTGGGGTATATATTTGGTCCTTGCTGAACAGAGCTCTCTGCTTCTTGGTGCCATATTCTCAGCTGCTTTCCTCTGCCACAGTCTTCCGCCCTGATGTTCTTCCTCATCCTTGGCCTTAAGGAATGGAGTTGCCTCTTCATGGACTAAGACCACCTGAGCTCCCTAATAAGCTTTTCCTCCTCTACAATTGTTCTTGTTGGGTCTTTTGATCACAGCAACAAAAAACTTGACTAAAACAATTGCTCATTGTTTACATACAAATGTACATGGACAAGTGAGAAGGAATTGGTTCTTGAAATTCAGGATCTAGTACTGAAGGGATTAACTCGTTCAAAAACACAACCCATCTCCCCTGAAAGCAAAGCACTAGCAACTTGAGCTATAGCAGACTAAGGCTTGAAGGAAGAAAAAGGGATAGGAATTTGCAGTGGGAGAGTAACCTTGCTAGTTCTCTTTATGAGTTTACTATGGTTGTCAAGAATGTCATGAGCCTTGGGGAGAGGATAGAGGGCAATGTAGAGGGAGGGAAAATAGGAAACTAACAGGAGAAAGAACTCATTGCACCTGATAATAACTGATTTATAGTATTGTACAAACAAGCCAATTACAATTGTCTGGCCCCCAAAGTATTTTACCAAAATGTGATTTTTTTATTTACTCTGCACAATTGTATCCTAACTTAAAAAAAAGAGTCTGAAAAAAATATAAAAGCATCTGATAAAAATACTCCATGGTATTTTTTTAGTAAGCAAAGCAGTAATTGTACTGATTATAATATACACACAAAATCATCTTCATATTAGATACCATTTATTAAGTATTTATTATATAGGTGATTTATATTTAATCTCACTTAGTAATTTCAAACATCTATATGGTAAGCATCATTTTCCCCCTTTTGCAGATAAAGAAACTAAATGCTCAGAGAGCTTGAGATTTGACTTAAATAGTTCCTAATGTGAGATCAGAAGTGGAACTGACTCAAGATGCTCAGTTTACTCCCTTAACACTGTAGTGTCTGTTCAAGTTTTAACATTAACATTTTCTAGAGCTTGACTTTCCCAGTCCCCAGAAGACTAATCAATGGCTTAACAGGGTTCATAATCAAGGAACAACTTCTTAGGTACCTCTGAGTTTTAAAAAGTTATTTGGCTGTTATGGGCCAGGCTATATGGGCAATGACCAAACAGACTCCATTTTACCTTGAAACTCCAGGTCATGTAAGAAATGCTTCTCCCATGAGAAAACTCTGCCTCTGCCATCCTGAGCCTGCTTAGCATACCCTGCTTAGAAATGCAGATGTTTCTGTTCTTCTTATACAATGTAAAATTGTTCTCTTTTTGGTTATCATTTTTCTTGGGCAATGTACCCTAACCACATAGAATGTTAATGTTTGTCTAGAAGTTAGTAACCATTCTTCGACTTTTACACATTTAGATTCCTTTTGACCCACCTCCCCTTTTGCTTATGATTTTAGATCTCATGATTTTTGTTTATGGTTTTGAATCATGACAACAGCCACTTATGGTTAATGTACTGATAGGCTTTACTTGTGGTTTTTGCTCTAACCCCTGGAAGGGGTCACAGAATGCAGGCTTGCAGCTTGCCCTCATCCTGCCCAGCTCTGGTGAATAAAGATGGTTCCATCTCCTACTTTAAAATTGACTCAGATTTATTGCAATCTCACCATAACATGGCTAGCTTATATACATTCATAGGTCTAGTTAAAACATTTGTAAGACCTAATTTAGGAGCTGGGAGTATAGCTCAGTGGTGAAACACTTGGGTGACTTGGGGTTTGATCCCTAGTACTGGAAAAAAAAAAGACCTAATTCAGTTTTGTTCATTGAACCTGCACTAACAACTGGATGATTTTGATCCAGCCACTTAAACTTGTTGAACCTTCATAATTTAGTGGAGCCGTTGAAAATCAAAAAGTCTGGGTAAAAATTCTGCCTCAAATCAATTAATATCTCTGAGCTACACCTGTATCCTCTTATAAAGGATGCTCCTTCCTTCCTTCCTTCCTTTCTGACATGGGGATTGAATCCAAGGGCACTTTACCATTACACTACATTTCTGGTCATTTTTATTTTTTATTTTGAGACAGGGTCTTGCTAATTTGCTAAGAGTCTCACTAAATTGCTGATGCTTAAACTTGTGTTCCTTCTGCCTCAGCCTGGCTGGGATTGCAGGCTGTGCCTGGCAAGTATGCTATCTTGGTTGGGGCTATTATAACAAAATACCGTAGTTTAGATGGCTCCCACAAAACAAATGTATTTCTTACAATTCTGGAGGCTGGATGTACACATGTAAATTTGAGGTAAATCCAAATATTCAATTCAAAACAGATACAATACTCACTCATAGTGTTCCTTGGAGGCTTAAAGCAGGTTTTATGGTGGTGGCAGTGGTGATGGTGATGGTGGAGCAAAGCAGGCCTGCCATAAATGTAGTCCAGTGATTCCAATCCTTAAGACCTATTTAGAGTCATGCACTACATGTTACAGGCTGTTGCTAACTGGGGATCAGGTCAGACAACCAGTCTTTCGGGGGGGTTTGTACTGGAGGGGGAAACACATATACTCATATATGTATCTATGTATGCAGATTATAATGATAGGAAGCACTTGAAACAATCTATTTGAGTGGCCAGGAAAGCATCTGAAGGGCTGTGTTGGGAGCTGAGATGGGTAGAATGAGTCTTGGTCAACTTGGGGAAGAGGACAAATCCAGATTCCAAATTGAATCTTTGTGCAAAAGCCCAGAGGCAGCCAGGTCCTTATTTGAAGGAAAGCCCTGTAGGGGTGGGACACTATTAGGTGGGGAATGTTTTGAGAAGCATCAGAGGTCATGTGAATCAAAGGGCAGGGAAATATCCTTAGAGTTTGAATAAAGTGCCAAGATGAATTTTGCATTTGGAAATATTTTAGATATTTCCTAGGATAGGAGGGAACTTGGGTGGACAAGCAGATGCCAGTTGAAGTGTTATACATCAGTACATGTGAGGATGAGACAACTGGGGCTGCAGAAGAGACACAGAAGTGGGTGCATTAAAGAGAAGGTTGGGGGAAAAAAACAAAACATGGACTTGGTGATGAATTGGGGTGGAGAATGGACAGGTGCTCCATTGGTGTTATTTGTAAAACATGACCCTTATGGAAAAAGTAAACACACTCTCTAATAAGCAAAATGCTTTTCGAAATTTTATTTGTCATATTGTAAAGTAAGCCAGAACTTCTTAAACATGCATTTGAAGAGATTTTTGCAATTAGTTTAATAAAATGAGATAGAAACCTTCCTTGTTTTTAATTGGCTCTTATACTCCACATTGGGGTAGGGAGAGGGAGAAAAGAAAAAGTTACTTTCTTTGGGGAAAAAGAGAGTGCTAGCTGCATTGTCACGGGCAAAGCTTTTCCAAGTTCAATGGCAGGCAAAACTTTTTTTTTTTTTTTTTCTTTGTGGTGCTGGGAATCAAGAGTGCTTCAAGTCCACGCTAGGCAAGCGCTCTGCCTAGGCTACACCTCCCGTCCTAAGGGGCACTCTTTATAGTTAATGGCAACGAAAAGTTTCTCCATTGGTGATTTTCAGTGAGTTAAATTTGGGCGAGAGAACCATGGACTGGCAAAGACCCTGGGCTCCACCTCTCCCAGCGGCCGGCCCCACTTCCCGCCAACTCCAGGCGCGCCTCCGCGGCCCCTCCCACCCGGCCCGCAGCGTGCCCTCGCGGCCCCGCCCCTTGGTCCCGCGCGCCGGGACTTTCAGCGCGATTGGGCCGCTCCGCCCCCCGGCGTCCCGCCCGCCCAGACGCGGGAACGGATCTACCGGGTCGGTTCCCCTGCCAGCAGTGTGCCCCACGCTGCTCGAGTCCGCCTGGCCACTCGGCCCCCGAGGAGCCTTTCTCGCGACAGCGAGGCGATGCCGCGCAGCCGGCAGCCGAGGGTCCGCTCCGGGAACGAGCCTCGCCCCGCGCCCGACATGGAACCGGCGGGTGACGGGGCCTGGGCCCACAGCCGCGCCGCGCTCGACCGCCTGGAGAAGCTGCTGCGCTGCTCGCGCTGGTAAAGACGGAGCCTGGCTCAAGGGGGTGGCCACGGGGGCAGTGGCTCGGGGCATGGTCGACCCCCGAGGGTCCTCTCCCACTTGCCGTTTCCTCCTGAGGTTCCCGTGCGGCTTTCGGGCCGGCGTGCAGAGTTAGTCCTGCCCCAGCGATCTGGCGTTAGTCGTCCCCGCCCAGGTCCCCATTCCCATCCTCTCCGGCCGGCTTTCCAGCCTCTTGCTCCATTACGAACTAAAACGGAAGTTCTGGAACTTCAGCGGGCTGCGGAAGTGCTGGAGGTGTGGCCAAAATTGTGGGTCCCTGGCTCCACCTCCGGGGTTTGAACCTGTTGGGCTGGGGTGGGGCTAAGGCTTTGGCGCGTTTTATGGTGCCAGGCACGGTGGGACGCCCTTGAACCCAGAATGCCCAGGGCTGGGGCCGCAATAGAGGAACTTGAAGTTTGAAGGGTAGTTAGTCTTTGCTGAGCTGGCCTTTTTGACATTTTCCTCATAACAACTTTAGGGGAATAGAGTGGAGTGTTAGAGACGCTTGTTAGGGGCTTATTGACAATGACGATGTGATGGGCACCACTATTCTAATTTTCCTTTCCTTGGTTGGATCAAAGGCCAGGGATATCCTGTATCACCGAGCCACATTTCTAGCTCCCCTCTTAGACTGTGTATTCGTTCCAAAGGCATCATTTAACGACTGGTGTTTCTTGCTGCTGCTTTTCCTGTAGCCTTTTCTAGTATAGAATCCAAGAAGGTTTGTGAGTTCCAACAAGGGCTTTTTCATATCTTTAAAAGCATTTATTAAGCAACTGTTGTATGCACAGTTGAGTATTTCTGCATCAGGATCATCCTGGCATACTTTCTGCTTTTAACTGTCACAACAGTATTTCCTTTTGGACTTCGTTTTGATTTTTTTTTCCCCTTTGATTTCCAACTTGTAGAATTCAGTTATTGCTGTGTTACATGCACAGATATTTTTTCTTTAAAAATAAAAACGACTTAACTGTCACAGAAATTTTGCACTTAATATTTTGTTTTACAAAAACTTTATATCTAACAAAATGACATCATTAGGCTCCTAAGAACAGTGGCATTTTTGCTAGAATGAATATATGAGGATATTCTGAGTTGTGTGTCTTTGTTTTCCCTAAACATATGGGTCATTCATCTGAGAATAAAAAATTTAAAAGTAGCATTTCTAGTTGTAATAATAGAAGCAGTTGTAGTTCACACCCTAACAGTCAGTACTCTAAATTAAACGTTTAGATGACCAGTTTCTGTATGGAAACATAGCATTTCACTTACTTAGACTGTAGACTGCCTGAGTTCATGTTCCAGCTTTGACACTATTGAATGAGCCAAGAAGTTCATTCTCTGTGTGTAAGTAATGATGAGCTCATTCTCCTGCAAGAATTTATTAATAATAATTGTAATAAATTTTATTCACCACCTGCAAGGTGCCAGATACTGCTCTGGGGACTTTGTAATAAACAAAGCAGACAAACAACTTTTATAGACCTTATATTCTGTGTGGAGAGGGGAGAAAATAGATGAAATTATACATGTAAATTGTTGAGTGGTGATTATCATAGAGTAAATGATAACTAATAAGTGTCATAAAAGTACAAAAAGATGTCTCTGCTTCTGAATGAACTAAACAGGAAGAGCCAAAAGTCTGATGGTAGCCATCAGTACCTAGGCCCAGATTTTTTTTAAACATAGGTTTATTTAGGAAGGTAGATACACACTCAAGGGAGAACGAATAAGTCTCATAAAAAGGAGAAGCCTTTGGGGTAAAGCAAGGAATACGCACTCCAGGGAGAATGTGGGCCATCTTCAGGGGGAGAGAGAGCCCCAGATTTTTTAATATCTTTCATCTAGTTGGTGAGAGAATTATGCTGAATTCCGTTTTTTTAAATTTAATATTATAAACCACCAGTGGATGAACTGTAACTTTTTTAGAGTGTATATTCTCATAAGGCTCCACAGTTTTTTTCTGTAAAGTGTCAATACATATTTTAGACTTTGAAGCCCTTGTTTCTATTCTTGTTTTTGTTTTTTTTACATCCCTTAAAAATGTGAATACCATTCTTTGCTTGGGAATTGTATGAAAACAGACTGCTGGCTTGATTTGGCCCACAGGCAATATAGTTTGCCATCTCAGTTTTAACAGGAAAAATGTCTTTAAATATAAAATTGTTTTTGATCTAAAATTTTATATCACATGGCACTTAATATTTAGAAGTGATTTTGCTTTCCCCTCTTGAAAGTTTGGAACTACTTATAGTGAGCAAAGATGGCCTGTTGTACCTTACCTTAGGGGGAAAATATATTCTTCTTATCTCTGTCTTTGCCCTAGTAGCTGTGTGACACTATTGCTGGAAGGTAGTAACTCAGGGTGGCCCGCTTCTTTCTTGCTTTCATTTGCCACCATTCAAAGCAGTGTCATGTTATTTGAAATTGTGTCAGTATGTCCTTTTACAGAGTTTCAAAGTTCTATCCAGTGGGCTAGTGATTACCCCGATTACCCTCACATTCAGCTTGCAGCTGTCATCTATCTGGTGTTCCCAGCTGTCACCTGTCTTGTGTAGCACATTGGATCTGTTTTGCAGCAAGCATTTCTTGCTGGTGAGGGTGAATTGGCTACATTACAGGGCATCCTTTCTTGACCTTTAACATGAGTATAGCTTCAAGGTGAAGCTGATGAAAGTGTTCAAGAGGCCAGATGTGACATTTGTGTTAGGGCCAAGTCTCACAACAAGATAGAAGCTATTTAAAGATTTGGAAAAATGAGGCAGGAAGACCTTATCATTTGAGAGGCTGGCAGAGAGCATAGTAATAATGTATTTCTACAGGAAGCAGGAAATAGTAATAGGAGCTGCCCTATAAAAGCCCCAGGCGTTATATGGTGGAGTTTTGTGAATTAATTAAGTACCTCTTGTCATAAATTGTGGGTAGGGTGGTTTGGACTTACAACCATTGTGTTTTGGGCCTTTGTTATTATTTTTTGCAGTGCTGGGATTGAACCTAGGGCCTCATGTGCTCTAGGCAAGCACTCTTAACACTGAACTTCATCCCCAACGCTATATTGGGCTTTAACATTTTTTTTTTAGTAAAAAGCTAAAATGTGATTTTATAACTTTTAGAGTAGGTGGGTCCCCCCTACCCCACATCACCCTTGTCATTTAAAAGGCAATCAAAATTAATTTTGTATTGTTTTATATTTTGAGGCAGCCTAGCTCAATGGTTGTTTGAGCATGGATTCTAGAATCAGACTCTCTGATTTAAAATCCTTCAATGATTTTGGCCATGTTATTTGATCTTTGTATGCTTCCTTTTCTTTATCTGCAAAATGAGCTAGTAATTGTTTTTACCTTGCTAGGTTGTTATGGGAATTAAATGAATTAATACTCATAAATAAAGGATAGATTTCCTGACTCCAGCATTCAGCTTTTATCTTTCTTTAGGAGTTTTGAATGTTCAGAGGCATTCTTAACGGGCCAGTGATCCTTTAATGGAATGATTGCTCCCCTTGGTTTGCTCTGGTGCTGGTTATTCATTAGAATAACAAGAAATCACTGAAGCAGTATATTAGTTAGCATTGATGAATTTTATATCCTTACAGGATGTATACTTAATTTTAAGGGGTAAAATGTACACACAGTTCAGGGTATATTGTGATGAAGGCCAAGGGGATGTGGAGAAGCATACTTTGGGTGGGGGTCCAGTGCAGGAAAGCTTCATGGACTTCTGAATTAGTCTTTGAGGTATGGATAGATTTCTATAAATGGAGCCATTTCTAATAATGAGAGGGGGGATTATTAACAAATGACAGTGTGCTAAAAAGAATTGTAGGATAAATGGAGCTAAGACAGGATCAGATTGATACAGATTGTTCGATTTGTTCTTGTAGTTAATTTCCTACAGAGAACAATTCACATAGCTTTCCTGGACTCTGTTGTCTTTCTCTATAATATGAAGAACAAGAACTAGCTACCTTTAAAACCTGCCTGCACTTTGCAGGTTTCATAATTATTAGTGTTATTGTGTGTAAAATATTGGTAAAACTTTTTATCAAAATTTAATGTAGGGCTGGGATTGTAGCTCAGTGGTGGAGCATTTGCCTAGCATGTGGGAGGCACTGGGTTTGTTTCTCAGCACTGCAAATAAATTAAAATAAAGGTCCATTAACAACTAAAAAAATATTAATGTACACAAAAAAGGAGCACACACATTGTTGGTGTTAAGTTTGCATCATATCCTCCAAATTTGAATTTAATGTTTTGTGGGATTTATTTATTTATGTGATATTTTGATTGATGTTTGTCTCCTTCAATTATACTAAATATTTCATAAAGACAGGTTTACATTTTTTGCCACAGTGCCAGACATGTAGTTTTTTAGTGTTTCTTAAATCATGAAAAAATTTAGATCAGGTAGGATCACAGTTACAAAATGGTAATACCAGAATGACCTAGTTAATTCACCTGAATCTGCAGGAATCCTTCTGAGGTTTCTGGGGTTAATTACTCAAACTGAGCAGAGACTTAAGCCTCAGGGCATTTGTAGATCTAGGTCTTTCTTTTGGGAGTTAGAGCTAAATCCACCATACCCACAGTTCTGTAATGGGTGAACACCCAGCTAGCATGACTGCTGGAGAAACATACAAGACATGTGGACACCCTTTCTTAAATTTTTCTTTTACTTTTTTTTTTTTTAACAAATTATTTTGAGATAGGTCTCGATGTGTTCCCTAGGCTGGTCTCAAACTCCTGAACTTGGGTGCATGCCTCTGCACTCAGCTGATGACCCTTTATACTGTCCCCCATAGCATAGGAAATGACTTTACAAGTGAAGTTATTGTTAAGCAAGTCTGGGTTCAGGAGAGATTTTAGGATGGCAGCAGGAAGTTTGATGCATATAAATGCTGATTGAAGGACCACTTCTGAGGGGGAGAAGGGAAGAGAGGAATGCCTAGGTGTGAGCCATGTATATTTGAATGTCAGGTGGAAGAGATGGGGCTTTAAAAGATCAGGAAGAGGAGCAGTTACTTAGACATTGCTTTATTTTGGAGAAAAGAGAATAAAAGACGGAATAGCCAATACTGTTTAAGTCAGGCAAACATGGTATTCTCTGAGACTGAAATAGTAGATTCTCCTATAGTAATTAGATTTTATATTAATTTCCTGTTAAAAGACAGACTTCTGTTGCCCATTTGACTTTTGGGATATTTGACTCTATCATTCAACATTTATTGACATTAAACAGTTTGATAAGATTTTGAATTTTCCCTTGTGATTTACTTATATCTTATGTAAAAAATAAGTATATTGAACAAGATGCTTCCATGTCATTATCCATCACCATACTTACTAAAGACTTTGTGTATTTATTCTCCTAAAGATAAATATAACAAATTATTTGATTGGTTTGGAGAGCCTGTACATTTTCATATAAAACACATTGGTCCATGACTTAAAAATACTTTGGGGATTCTCTAAAATGTAAGAGCACTGAGGTAGTTGTCCTGCCTAATTTTAAATAGCATTTGATTTCTTATAGGAACTTAGGGAGCCATTCAGTTAAAAAGTAATTCTCAGTCTTGTAATCTAAACTGAGTCTTTTTTTCTTTTCAAGGAAAATTTTATATCAGTAGGATCTTTTTTTTTTTTTAATTATTTGTTCTCACAACTTAGTTCTTCCCTAAATTATAATCCACTGACTGAACTGATCTAGTCAAATCAACTTAAAAAGTTATAGAAGTATGACTGAAGATGGGAAGAAAGTAGTTTAGTTGAATTTTGAAGGTACAGAAATCCTGTTTCATGCAAGTAAATGTCTTACTCATCTGGATTTTTTTATTCTAATATTTGTGTATATAAAACAGAAAAATAGATTAAGGATAAAAAGGAATTGCTAATACAAATACATTTTTGTATGTAGTCTTCTATTTGGTTTATTCATTAAGGATTTACTGAAATTTGCTCTCATGTAGCACCATGTTAGGCAGGTAATGTTGGGTTGGGGAGCTCAGATAAATGAAATTCAAGGTTTCTTGTCTGAAAGGCTATAATTTATTTGGAGATAAGGAAAATAGAGAATCAGTTAAAATTAAAACAAACAAAAACCCAACAACTTAGTTGATAATTGATAATGACATGGAATGGAATGCTATTGCTCATATTTTTTGGAATCTTATGATGTTTTATTCCTCTCAAGTCATATATTAATTTGGTTTTTATAACCATCCAGCTAGATTATAATTTCCTTAGGAAAGAGTGACACATAGTTAACTTCATGATCTTTATGTTTCTGGTGTCTGATGCGAATTTTGCATAAATGATGGCATGGAAACAAAACCCCAAGAATTCCTGTGCTTTTTTGTTTAGCATCATTTTTATTAAGTGGGTAATGTGTTGGACTTGGATAGTTGCTTGGAAGATTGGAAGGTAGTCTGAGCCAAGTCCTGGGGCTGGAATTGAACATAAGATACTTGAGAATTGTTGCAGACACTGGTTTCACCAGAGTAGAACTTTTGTTAAGGAGCAGTGACAGAAAAGATGGCATGGGTAGAGTGTTAGTGATTATGAAGAAAATTTTAATGTTACATTATTTTTTCCCAGTACTGGAGATTGAACCCAGGAGTGCACTGAATTATACCCTCAGCCCCTCTTGATTTTTTACTTTGTGACAGGGTCTCAGTTGCAGGACCTCCTAAGTAGCTGGGATTACAGGTGTGCACCGTCATGCCTGGCTTACTGTTAAATTTTTAAAAAGTGAAAATAACACACACATAAATTCCTGATGGAATTAGTTGAATTACATTTGGCCTGGGGTTGTAGCTCAGTGAGAGTGCTCAAGGCCAGTCCCCACCACTAGCATGCACAAGGCCAGTCCCCACCACTGCAGAAAAATAAAGTTTGTTGCATTTAAAATTTTGGTCAGTAACTCCTAGTTGTAAAAAAAAAAAAAAAAAAAAAAAAAAAGTTCTTTTATTTCATGGCATCTTCTCAGCTAAAAGCCCTAGCCATTCTCAAAAAGCCTGGCTTTGGTACAGATTGGCGCCACCTCTGTGCATTGTCTGCCCTCTATCATCTTCTCTTGAACGCCATTGAGAATTGGCACTACCCAGTCTCTGCCTGGTCCCGAGCATACAGATATGCATATGCTTTTCATTCATATTTCCCTCATCTATTAACAACCTCAAAAAAGTCATCTAGCTCACTAATTAGAATAATTAGTTCTACTGATCAGTTATTCATAGATATTAAGTCACTGCTAATTACATGATAGCATCTTATTGCTAGGGTGAAGGGTAAGAACTATAGATAAAGGGTTCAGACTCATCTGAAGAAGTCAATTTAAAGTTTTGGAAGCAGAATCAAGGCACTGAATGAAGAATCAACAGAGAAAGCCAGGAGGCTGAGCCTGCATGGAGGTGGGTGTGCTGACATCCAGAGGTAGGAAAAGTAGCAGCTAAGGAAAAGCTAAAATGGGAAGGAGATGGAGTCTGCTGGTGTAGAGCACTTACTTTAGAGCTTTTATTTGTTCAAGACTGAGAGGAGCTGGGTCAGAAGGTAGAATGGGAGGCAGAGTCAAAAGGAAGTGGTTTTTAGGTAGGGGGAGAGATTACCTGTGCATATTTAGGTATGAGTGAATGAAGAAGCATAACTAATGATAATCAGTTCCTTTAGGACACATGGAAGATTTGGAAGCTAGAGACAAAGTATTCCATCTGAAGAAGGAAGAATGAGTGAAGACCTTGGGGAAGGGGAAGATTACTAGTGAAGTCATAGAAATGTGTCTAGGTTGTCACAAGCTCATACCATTGAGTCCAGTAAGGTTAAGGAGGTTTGGAAGCATGGTGATTGTTTTAAATAGGTATCTATTGGTTTGTTTATTCAAGATCATCTAATTCATCTAATACATCACTTTGGTGAGATACAAAGTTGAAAAAGATGCCAGTTTTTTAGGGATAAATTTGTGTATCTTTCTTTTTATCATGGTTCTTCATAGCCTGAGCAGGCAAGGAAGAAATAGATTCTGACTTGTCTAGCTTTGGAGATTGGTGTTCATCAGCGTTGAAGAGCTCAGCGGTATTAAAGTACTGGTAAAAATGGTTCTGAGGAGTTAAACCTGCAGCCTGTGCTGGATAGGGAATGCAGGGAACTACTAGGCTGAACAGAATCTTCTCAGTGTGGGGAGCAATTGGTATTGGCAAGGGTGATGAAATTAAAGAGAAAGAGGAAGGGTTTTGTGATAGGAGAAAGTGTGATAATATCACACTTAGATCTTAAGAGGCAAAGCTTACAGTGAAGTAGAATTCAGCACACTTGATTGAAAAAAAGGGGTTAGTTTTCGTAGGTCAAATAATGAGCAAAAATTTTAGGGCAGTTTGAACATTGTATAAAAAAGATGATCTTAATTGCCAGAATCACAGAAGTCATATTTTTATCTGTATGTTCTATGTAGTGTGGCTGAAAAATCAGTTATTGTGAGTTTTTAAAAAGTAATGGGTTTTATAATGTCAGTGAGCACCCTTTTCAGTAGCCTGAGAAATAATATTGTGGCTGTCTACTCAGTTCTTTGTGTTCTTTCTGAAAGCTCAATTTCACTTTAATGTTTATATCTATTAAAATGTGCAGTGTGTTGCATTTGATCTTTCAAGAAATGGGCAGGACTATTTTTATTGATATGTGGTATGTGTGCAGAGGTAATTGAATAATGATGGTATAAATACCTGGAGATCCTGGGGTTGGCGTTATAAACCTAGTGCACATAATGTTCATCCATTCACGGCCTTACTTCTCTGGGTGCTCCTGCTGCATAATATGCACTGACTGTAGTGATATGTGTTTTTGATGTGTGTTTATTAGGTAGTACCGGCAGCTTTTTAGCGCTATCAAACTTAGCAGGTATTTGATGGACAACATTGGGAATATTTTGTTTCTGTCTTCTCTAAATGAAGTGAATGTCTTTTAGTCTATGGACTGCCAGCTTGATGATTTCTGTTTGCAGTTGCTGAAAGAACAAAGCAATCAACTTGCTGTGAATTGAGAGTGACTTTTTTTTTTGGACAAGACATCTGTGAGAAATAGATGGCTACTTAATTGTCAGAAATACATGTTTGCGGGGCTGGGGATGTGGGTCAAGCAGTAGCACGCTCGCCTGGCATGCGCGGGGCGGGTGGGTTCGATCCTCAGCACCACATAAAAATAAAGATGTGTCCACCGAAAACTAAAAAATAAATATTAAAAAAATTTTCTCTCTCTCTCTCTCTCTCTCTCTCTAAAAAAAAAGAAATACATGTTTGCTTAGGGGAATCTCTGGATTCTTATGGTCAAGGTGACTATATGTCCTAGTTTTCTTGGAACAGTCCTAGGTTGCATTTGTTGGTTACAGTTATCAACCACCCAAGAAATTTAATTATCAAGAAATTTCTCTGTTGGATGGTACATTATGTCATTGTGATTATTGGGTCACATTCTGAGACTTGTGGTCTTTACCATATTGGTTTTATTGTTTGGTGAAGATGGACCTTAGTAGGTGAAAGAAGATACCAATGGTTAGTTTTCTCACCAAGAAGTTTAGAGGTTTAGTGATGATTAAGCAAGGTCATTCCTTTGACTTACATTATAAAAAATGTTACCACTTGCACTGGGTTTTGATAGTTTTCAATTTGAATTCAGCAGTCATACTATGAGCATATTTAACTAGGGGAGTAAAAGCTTTTTAAATGAATTTATTCTTAGTATTTTCTTTCTATTTGGTGAAAGGAAAAATGTGGTGGTATTGGGCCTTGTTTTTAATGAAATAAATGTTGGGCATGAAATGTTCGTAATTTCTTAAGTCTTAACTATTTTCCTTTGTTCAAACAGCACTAATATTCTGAGGGAGCCCGTGTGTTTAGGAGGGTGTGAGCACATCTTCTGTAGGTAAGTAATTAGGCCTTGATATATATAATGTAACTATATTTTTAAATAGGTAACCATTGTATAATCATGTTGATAATGGTACTTCATGTCTGTGTAACTTTCATAGCCTGCAAAGCAACTTACTGTGCATAATCTCATATTGATCCTTATAACTGACTTAATTTACAAATAAAAATTAAGCTCCAAGAGTATAACTTGTCCAAAGTCACAAAGCTTAGTCCTTTGCTTTGCTACTTTTTGGGGAAGAATTAATGTCTTATATAATTCAAATGCCCTTTTTTTTTTAATCTAGACTTATAAATTATGAAAGTCTAATTCTTAGAATTTTTGTGTCAGTTTCCTGGGGCTGCTGTAACACAGAACCAAGAATGGATTGGTTTAGAACAATAGAAATTTATTGTCTTCAGAGTTCTGGAGGCTGAAAGTACAAGATCAAGGTGTTGACAGAGTTTATTCCTTCTGAAGGTTCTCAGAGTCTGTTCTTGACCCCTCCTTGTTTCTTCAAGGTTGCTCACAATCTTTGCAGTTTCTTGGCTTGTAGATGTATCTCTCTCTTCCTTCTTTGCTTTCCTGTTCATGGCATTCTCCCTTGTTGGCATGGCATATTTCTCTCCCTGGTTACATTTACCCTTTTCTAAGAATACCAGTTCTAGGGATTATGCCTCACCCTAGTAATTTCATCTTAATCATCTACAAAGACCTTGTTTCCAAACTGTGTCATATTCACAGGTACTAGGGAGTTGACTTCAGCATCTTTTGAGGGAACACAGTTCATATAATTGTATGGAATCATATCCATGTTATAATGCGAAAGGCCCTGGTTTATAGGTTATAAGATTATATTTTTATCTCATTTTGTTTCTTTGTCAGGAGAAATTAGTTGCAGAGTTTAATGTCTTGACCTAAGCATATAATATAGGCTCCTTTGAATGAGTCTTTTAATTATTTCTAGTTATGTGAGTGACTATCTGGCATGAACAAACTATATTTTGAAGTTTGAGTATGTATGAAAACAATTTAATATGTGAATTCAGTGATTTGAGGATATGTGGGAGGCAGTATGCTTGGGGTCTCATTTTCTTTCTAGAAATATATCCATATTACTTGAGGGTACATACAGTAGGAGGAGGGGTTAGGAGATGGTATTATTGCCTACCTGATATCTCCATTTATATAATGAAACCGCATTTCAAACTTGTTATGTTCACAGCACATCTCTTGATAATCTTCCTTTCATCCTGTTCCTGCCTTGGCAGTCTTCATTGAAGACTGTCTTTGCTTAAGGCAGAAAACCGCAACTCATACCTGATTACTCATTCACCTTATCCCACATGATTAATTTTTATCAATTGCACCTTAAAATGTGCGCTGAATCATGAATTTTCCTACTTTTTTCTATATTTGCCACTGAAAATCTTTTTTGTTTTCTTTCTCCCCAGACTGTTGTAATAGTTTCATACCTAGATTTTCCTTTTTGGCATCATTACCTCTTGTCCATTTTCTACTTTATTTATTTATTTTTAGTACTAGGGATCTGACCCAGGGCTGCTTTACCACCGAGCTACATTGCTAGCCCTACTTATTTATTTTTTTGAGACAGGACCCTGCCTCCAACTTGGGATCTTTCTGTCTCAGCCTTCCAAGTCACTGGGATTATAGGTGTGCTGTGCCTGGCCATTTCTACTTTCTTTTCAAGTGTTCTTTTAAATGTGTAAATCATATCCATATTATTGCCCTCCTTAAAATCCTTCAGTGGCTTCCTATTACAATTAGAATAAAGTCCAAACTCTGTATGTAGGTTCACAAGAGGCTGTACAGGAACTATAATTCTGCCTGTCTTGTGGACCTCATTTCCCTGTGACTCATATTATTCTAGCCACTTTCTCCTTAAACACTCTAAACTCGCCCCGGGGCTTTTGCACTTGTTATTTCTTCCATGTGGAATATACCTTGAGTCTGACTTTTCATGAGCTATGTTTCAGCTGAGCTGTCACTGCCTCCTAAAATACCTTCTGTGATCCCCTTAAGAATTCATCCACTCCCTGTCCCCACTCTGTAGCAAGCACATCTTGTTTCAGTTAATGCACCATGGGTTTGCTCACTGTGTACAACAGGTCACCAACAAAACTAGTAGAACATAATGAAATTATATGTAAAATGTGTGTGAGGAGAAAGAATCCATACCTTTAATCAGATTCTAAGGGGTCTATAACTTAAAATGGCCAATAAAAGATTAAGAGAGAAATGAGAATATCTTGAAAGAGAAAATGATTCTGTGTATATAACATGAACAGAGGAAAGAATCCATTCGGTGCAGTTAGGATTTGTTGTGATTAGATTATGCCAAGCATTAGGGCAGGTGTTTAGATTCTTTGTAGATTTTTTAAGTTTCATAAAACTGATGACTAGTGAATTTTAAAAGATGATTTTGAAATAATTCAACTGAAATAGAGGTAGGGCAGGGTGAAGAGGTACAAATTTTAATATTAAGTGTTGTGGTAATTTCAAGGTATGGCTGACTCTCTCCACAGTTCTCTTTCCTACATTCAATCAAACAGATCAAAATATTTAAAACAAAATTTCATTCCTATTAAACATATACAGGATTTTTTTTCATTTTCCCTGAATAGTACAGTTTAATAATGACTATTTTATAACATTTACATTGTATTAGGTATTACAAATAATAGAGATGATCTAAAGTATATGGGAAAGCTGAGTGGGTGGCATGCGGAGGAGTGCAAGTTCCAGGCCAGTGTCAGTACTCAGCAACTTAGCATGAAGAAAGAATGAATACAGGAGAATGTGTATAGGTTATATGCAAATATTATGCCATTTTATATAAGGAACCGGAGCATTCAGAGATTTTGGTATCCACAGGGTATAGGGGACTGCAGAAGTCCTGTAACCAATCCCCTGTGAATATTGAGGGATGGTTATATGCTTGTGCCAATCCCTGATAAAGTATTTCATATGCTCTCTTTAAGGTATAATTAATTTAAGGCATGTGGCAAGAATACTCAAACTTTTGGTCTCAGATCATTTTATACTTTTCAAAATTGAGAACCATAAAGAGCTTTTGTTTGTGTGTATGTGTGTTTGTGTATGAATTGATTGTATAAAATGGAGACTTTTTAAAACATAATAATTCATTTAAAATAACAATAAGCCCATTATGTACTAACATAAATAACACTTTTAAAATAACTATTTTATAATCCAATTATTATACATTTTTGCAAATCTCTTTAATGTCTTGCTTAATATATGACAACTAGATTCTCATGTTTGGTATAGTTTTTATTCTGTTGTGATGTGTGTCATTTTGATTCAAATATGTAGGGAATATCTCACCTTATGCATAGTTGTTGTTGGAAAAAGTCATGTTTTAATAGCTCTTTTAGGTAAACTATACCAAAACTTGACAAGTAGAATCTGAAGCTATATGTTTTTGGACTGTCTGCATTAAATTCCATTGGTTTCTCCAATACTTTGAATTGATCTTTTGGCTCACTGCATTATGTAGATCTATTGAGAAATGATGTATTTTTCAGAATTCTGGATTGATGTTTATATAATAATTTGAGAAAGTTATAAAACAGAATACAATTGAACATTCCTAATCCAGAAATCTGATACCCAGAATGCTCTGAAATGTGAAACTTTTTGAGTGCTGACATGATTCTCAAAAAGTTTTGGATTTTCATATTAGGCATGTTAAACTGATAAAGTCTACAGATATTCCAAAAGTCCTAAAACTTCAAGCTCTGAAACACTTCTGGTTCCAAACAGTTCTGGTTTCAGATGAGGGATGCTTAACCTGTATCTAAAATATAAAATAGCCTGCTCTAAGTAGTATTGCAGTGTTGGAAAGTGACTTAACTAACTGGATCTCATTTGCTTCATCTGAAAACATGTCAGTGGTTCTTAAGGAATGGATTTCAGATTGTATTTTACTGGTATTCCTCAAATGTTGTACACAAAAATCTATTTAAATTGCCTGGGTGTGTTGGGATCAAGAGAGTTCTTTTTCTTTATTTTGTAAATTTATTTTTTTTTTTTCTGTTCTGATTTGAGATAGTGTTCACTATGTAGCCCAGACTGGTACTGGGCTCAAATGATACTCCTGACTTAGCCTCCTGAGTATCTAGGACTACAAGTTCACACTGCTGTACCAGGATCAAGTTAAGCAGTGTAAGCAAACAAACTTAAGGAGTTGCTTTGGTAAAGAATTTGGGCATTTATTGAATTAGATGATCTCAAAGGTCTCTTCCAGCTCCAGAATAGTTGTTACAGATTCATTTTTAAAGTTTTTTTTTTTTTTTTTTTTGTGGAGGGGGGAGGTGTTTTGTGTCAAAAATCATGCTAAGAACCAAGGATTAAAAAAAAAAAAAAATTGAAATACCACAGGTTTTGTCTAAGGATAGTTCATATTGTAGTGATCCTTTGTGCCTATAAATGAATGGGTTACATGGCAGTATAGTGCTTGGGGAAGACCTGACTTTTACAATTATTATACTCCCATGTTAACTAACACCTATCTGATGAGGCAAAAGAAGGAGTAGATTTATAGGATTCTGGAGTTCAAAAATGTGCCTCAGGGGGCATTGTCAAGCACCATTACTCTTTTTAAAAGTTTTTACAGGAATCTGTATTTATGTTCATAAAATTTCCAGAGGGTTTGTAATCCCAAAAGTTAGAAAAACACTTTTATCCTAATGTTGAGACTGTAACACTCAGACAATTGAGGTAATTGAATCTACAGATTAACTTATCTGAAAGAACCAAAGATCTTCTCTCACAAACTAAAGCCTTAACATACTTGTCCAAAAATGAGACTAAAGATACTTTTCCAGTCTCTTTGCACTAGTTTTAGGCATTTCCATGAAGTAGAGTGTTCAGCTTTAGGATAGGAGAGGTTGAGATGCATGGCTACATTGACTTAGATACTGGATCTGTTTATTTACATCTTCACTTTACCTCATCCTTTAGCAGCTGTGGATTTATTTGCCTGATCAATGTCAGGCAAAGTCAAGTCTCTCATAGCAAATTACATCAACAGCTTTAGATTTAGATTTTATGTGTGTGTGTATGTGTGTTTGATAAAACACTAATTGAACAAATTGGCTGTTACATGTTAGAACAACCTCTGCTGTTTACTTCTGCTCAAAATCCACTGTTTTTTTATTTTGTTTTGTTGGAGTTCAGATTCTGATGTTTCTTTATTTTTTTAATTTAAGTGATTGTGTAAGTGACTGTATTGGAACTGGATGTCCAGTGTGTTACACTCCAGCCTGGATACTAGATGTCAAGATCAACAGACAGTTGGATAGCATGATCCAGCTTTGTAGTAAGCTTCGGAATTTGCTACAGAACAATACGCTTTCAGGTGAGAAATCTCTCTCTTCCTTGGTTAATCAACTAATGAATTGGTATTACTCACATAAAGCATCTTACCAGAAATTATGAAAGACATTTCAGACTTTATGATCTATAGTGGTTGTTATTGTTTTGTTTTTTGGGGAATCATTTTGATAATTGACAGGAAACATAAGAGATGATCAATCTAAATCCCTTGTTTAGATTTAGATGGGAAACCAAAGTCCAGAAAGGTTAAGTGATCTTGCTTTCAGTCATTTATGTAGTTGGTAAGAAAAGCAGGAAAGATAGAGTCCATTCCATTTGATTGTCAGTCCAGCAACTTTTTTTACTACTTCATATTGGCTGCTTTTTACAGTTATAATTTCTGTGGAATATATATAGAATAGTGATTTGGGCCTTAATAATGCCTAATTCACTTAAATATACTTTTGCAATATAGAATACAGCTTTCTTCCGTGGATCACTTCTAGACTGAATTAATTAGATGAACACATTTTGAAAGAGCAAAAATCTAATATTCATTTTCTTTTCTATTTAAATAGGGGTTAATGTTTTTCAAATTGTTCTTAGTCTCTGTTTATTAACCATATATCTTTCCGTTGGGCTTTCTACTGAGAACTAATTAGCTGTGAAAAGAAAGGAAAGTGTTTTGAATCTTCATAATTGGATATTGGAGTTATCTTTTTATTGACCATATCATGTCATTTTAGTGTGTGTTTATAGGAGAACCTTTTCTTGCTTGGCAGGATGCCATTAATGATTGATAATGTTCATATAAAATTATTAAATATCTGTTTTTCAGTCTTTTGTTCTTTGAATTCTGTCATGATGTTATTGTCAGTTAATAAAGGTGAAATTGAAGAAAAAAAAGAAATGAGTTAAATAGGTAATGTTCATAATTTTAAGAAGAATTTAAATCATAGTCTACCTTTGACGAGTTTCATCTCATTATATGGATCATTGTATTAGACTTCATTTTTTATGATGAAATATGTTATGATGACATAGTTCTTATTTTCAGATATAGTTGTCCACAATTTTTTTTGAGGTGCTCTTTAAAAAAATAATATTATAGTTATAAACCTCTTTTAAGAATATAGAGGGGAAAAGTTTTGTCATTAGTTTTCTGGGCTCTTTCTCCTTATTCAAAGATGTGCTCGATGTGTTTATTTTCTAGTTGGAAAGATTGGTGTGTGATCTTGCCTCCCCCACCATACCCCCACACCTGTAGGCACTATGGATTGATGCAGGGATTCTCAGGCAAGGGTCTGTGCATCTTAAGCAGTGTTTGGAGTTGGTCAGGAAGGATCAGTGAGCCCCTTGATTCAATTGTACAATATGAACAAATTTCATGTTAGTGTGAAAGTGGCTTCATAAGATTCTTAAGAGTGTGTAATATGTTAAGATAATTTGCTGTGCATTCACATTTTGGGTTTTATCTTGAACTTTTTTTTTTTTTTTTAACTCTTTAAACATTTACTTCTTCAGTTTTAATACACATGGATGCTATTACGGGGCATGGGGAGGGGCTGAAGAGGGGCAGGTTATAGCCTCCATTGGGATCAGAATGTCAACAGTATTACTTATAAATTATATTACATCAATTTTATTTACTGATCTAGGCAGCCAGAGGATGGAAGGATATACAATGTGACGTAAACACATTCACACCAGGGGTGAGGGATGCTAGCAGGAGACACAGCTTTTTAACATCAAAAAATATATAAAGTATTTAGCAAAAGTTACAGAAAACAGACCAAACAAGCAAGTTTCTTTTGTTAGAAAATACTTTGAGACTCTTATTAGACAAAACTCTTCTAGTTACTGTGTAGTAATGTATCCATTTATTAGAGATACTGTAACAAAGTGTGACAGACTGGATGACTTAAAGAAGAGAAACTGGTTGTCTGGAGGATAGGAGAATGAGATCAAGGTATATGCAGAGTTGGTTACCTTTGAAGTCTGTGTGGGAGAATCTGTTCTGGGATTGACTCCTTGGCTCAGAAATGGCTGTCTTCCTGTTCACATGATGCTCTCCTTGTATGAATGTTTATCAAATTTCCCTTTTGTCAGATGTGGTGGCTCTTGTTGGTAATCCCATTGACTCAAGAGACTGAGGTGGGAGGATCACAATTTGAGGCCATCCTGGGCAACTTAGTGAGATCCTGTTTCAAAATAAGAAATAAAAAGGACTAGAGATGTAGCTCATTGGTACAGCACCCTTGGATTCAATGTCTAGTACCAAAGGAAAGAAAAGAACTTTCCTTTTTTTTTTTCCCCCCCTGGAGTACCGGGGATTGAACTCAGGGACACTTAACCACTGAGCCACATCTCCAGCCCTATTTTGTATTTTATTTAGAGACAGGGTCTCACTGAGTTGCTTAGCACCTTACTCTTGCTGAGGCTGGCTTTGAACTTGCGATCCTCCTATCTCAGCCTCCCAAGCTACTGGGATTACGGGCTTGCACCACTGTGCCCAGCTGAATTTAACTAATTACATCTACAATGATCCTGTTTCCAACGAAGGTTATATTCTGAGACACTAGGGTACATGTCCTCAACAAAGAACTTAGGGGACAAGTAAGGGACAACAGTTTAACCCATAACAAGTAACAATGACATTTTTAATAGTGTTAAAATGAGACGAGGACCATGCAACCTTAACCGCCCTCAGTTATGGCATACGGGGATCCTGGGGACCTTGGGGTACAAAAAAGAACAAGATCCACTCTTCCAGAAATTTTACTGTACTGAGTCGTTTGAGTCATTGGTATAATTTTCATATTTTATAGACTATGCAATATGAAATGCTCTAATATTTCATTATTAAAGAAGGTTTAGGAAAATTGAGTTTAGAACAAGGTTCTAGGTGACATCTGAGGCCAAAAATACTGTCTAATCTAAGTATAGGTGAAGTTGGAAGAAAGATAATGGTAATTCATTTTCTGAAGGCATTTTGTGTTTATTTTCCTTACTATGATGAGTAAAATGCAAGGCCCTGGGTTCCATTGCCAGCACCAAAAGGAAAAAGTAATAATCCCTTCAGTCCTCGACAGAACTTAAATAATGCTGTCTTCAACATTACCTTATTTTAAGATGAATCAGAACTTCACTCTTTCAGATAAACCATAACCAGTATTTTAGAAGAATAGGGAATCGTCTTTAATTCCCTCATCCTTGTAGGTGAGTAGACTGAAGACCATTTTTTTTCCAATTAGTGCAATTTTTTGTTAAAAGTGTTGGTATTAACTTTTTCTTGAACTGAGTTGGGTGAAAAATGGCAGTGCTATTACTGATATCGTAGAGACTAAACTTAAGTAAAATAATATTAAAACAAATTCTGATATTTTGGTTCACATGATTCCTTTTGTATAATGTAATACCCTTTTTTGCTATTTTGATAGATAGTAAATCCATAGTATAATTAAGCTGAAATGTATCTATCCAGGTATGTTAATTCCATGTACAAAGCTTTTTAAAATTTTAATGTAAATTGCATCATTACAAGTTTGTCTACTTAAAGTCCTCCCAGAATATACTGGCCTTTAGGAGTATGTGGGATTTTTTTTCTGGGAGTATATTCCTTTATTTCCTTGTAGTTTATCTCGTTGGTACATTTAATGCAGTCCTCTGTGTTAGTTTATCTAGTAAGTACTTTTAAAACTGAAATGGTAATAAGGTATACCATATAGCAGCTAAAAGGAAACAGTAATTGCAAACAAATGATGTCAGTCCTTTTTATATGAAAATGATCTCATTATAAGATAAGGGTGTTAGATTAAGTGACTCTTAAGGTCTAGCTCCAAAATTGTATAATTCTGTTAAATCACGTGCTGAAGATGATGAATTAAGTGGAATGGTTAAACATTTCTCACTTTTTCTCTTTTTAAAAACCATGTAGTTCACAATTTATCATCCAAATGAACCTTGTTACTTGCATTTACTATAAAATATATAATTACTGTAATTAAGGTGGGTAATTAGGAAGAACTTGTCAAATCATGGACATAGTGTATGGTATATTGAAGATAAAGAAGCCTGATTTATAGTAATACTTGCTTAAATCAGCTTCCAACAGATTTTTCTTGGTTCAGTGTACATTAAAGAGAAGAGGTTGTCTTTCATATTTTTCTGATGGCCATTTAGGGATAATTTTACCTTATTCTTTATAACATAATCTGCTTTGTACTAATAGAGTAAAATTTTAAAGTTTTTATTTTCCCTTGAGCCTCATCATATTAAATTAGACCTTGCAGGTGCTGGTTGAGTTCTATGAAACATGTTGGTGTTGGTAACATTAAAAAAAATGCTTTGATCAAGCTTTCATGGGTTCACAGTTTTCCAATTTAGAGAGAGATGCCAGTCTTTCTGGAGTGATTATATAATGTTTCATATGTGCAGTAACTTTTTGTGATAGATGAAGATGAGGGCCTGAATAGCTGTGTTGCTGTTGTTTTTTAATAACACTAAATACTTCTTATAAAATAATCATTCTTCAGTGAAGGTGTTAATGTTATACAGATGATAAGAAAAGTACTTTCCTTTGATTTTTTAATAAGGGACTAGTTAGTCAAAGAGATTTCTCAACTTTTGTTGTGAAACTTATAATAGAGAATAATTTGAAAGGCACACAATGTACATCATTATAATCCTTTGATGTGGATTAATGATAGTAAATCACATTTTTCTAATTGCTTCTCTTTTCTATAGTTTTATTAAATTTTAAGAAAAAACTTGGCCAAGCAGCTCCTTAGTAACATGTGCATCTCTGTTCCTGTATATTTTGAGGTGTGCTCTGAAATATTTAAATTCAGAGAATAGAATTCTTTTAAATGTCATCATTAAGAAATTTGCTGTGTAGAAAAAGGACCAATATTTTTCTTTATGAAATTAATATGATAATTTATCATGCTTAGAATCCTTCACCCATAAAAACAGTTATAGGTGTTAATTGTATGATTTATATTCTGGTGGTAGTATTGTAGTTGCTTTTTACAGTTTTATCTT